TGCAACCTCTTTGCTATGCCCGAACCAGCTGGGCTCAGTGGATAGAGCGTCAGCCTGCAGACTCAAGGGTCCCAGGTTCGATTCTGGTCAAGGGCATGTACCTTGGTTGCGGGCACATCCCCAGTAGGGAGTGTGCAGGAGGCAGCTGATCGATGTTTCTCTCTCATTGATGTTTCTAACTCTCTATCCCTCTCCCTTCCTCTCTGTAAAAAATCAATAAAATATATATTTTTTAAAAATAATAAAATAAAATTAATGAACCATGAAGATACTATGTACTTGAAATCATGAAAGATTCCCTTTGCACAAACCCCCTCAAAAAATGGTAGAAAATGATGCTAAACATTACAACAAATTCATTTATTCATAGTGATTATGTTCTTGGTAGTACAGCATCTGGGAAATCAGGTTGGTCCTGTTAGTACTAGCATCTACTCCTGTCACACCCACGTGCTCTGCCCTTCCATTCTCCATTGTAGGGTGGAGCATAAGAGATACTACAGTCTCACAGCCTGCCCATCCCCATCCCTGTCTTACAGTCCCATGAGTCTTAATAAAAAAACAAACACACTAGCACTCTAACAAATTCATATTTTAAAAGTATGGAACTACTATGGCAACAGTGACAGCACATGCATGTTTCACAGCCTTCTCTATACATTCAGCACATGCAAAAATAGAGCTCCCCCAGCCTAAGAATTTGCTGACACTTCCAAAAATTGCAAACTTCTCCAAAACAGTATCTCATACCTGCAACTCAAGTTCAAAACAGGGGGCAAACAACACAGGATGCAAGTACTAACTTTCAGTTATGAGAAGATGTCACCTCATTCTCTGAATGCAATTCCCAATCAACCATAAATTGATTTGGAAATCTCTGTGTTCCCTTCAAGTTTTCCCCCAGTACCTGTGCCTCAATTCACAATGAGCCGTTTCTACCAGTGCATGCAATATGATAATATGAAATTCTCATATGAAGGTCTTAGTGTTTTAAGAACTCTGGAAAGGTCTGATTGGGAAAGAAATGAAAATAAGGTTCTAGTTTTCAGTCTCACACATGAGCTCTTTTCCAACATCAACATGGATAATCTAGAAATTGGCTAAATTCTAAACCTAATTTTTGGGTGTCACAAAGAGATTATTCTCCCTTGGGAATACAGGAACTCTAAGTTGCCACCTACTCTTTGGTTTTAATCACCATAACTAAATACACAAATACTATTAATCATTCTCTCATTACTAAAAACAATTTTGATCTAAAAATGTTTTATATGAGGAAATAAGTAATACTCAACTTAATTCCCTCTTTCCAAATCTTCTCTTTAAACCTAGGCAACTAGCTAAATTTTCACCAATAGTATACCAAAGGGATTTATTATTAATATTTTAACCAAAATCACCATAGACAGGGTCCTTATTTTCTCTATGTTGAGTATAGTATCAAGTGATTCTACAAAAGGAACTGTATAGCTATTAATATTTATTTAATAACATTTGAATCTAGATATAAACAAAAAGAAATGTTGGCTTCACCATCGTAAATAAAAAGAAATATTTTTAAAATACTGATTTAAACTTGCAATGAATGCTTAGTTCAACAAAAAAGTCAAAACAATTTGTTATAAAATCAACTTTTAATGTCTGCTGGTCCTTCACAAACCAAGTGAAGGCTGCTATTATTATTACCACTATTTTAAATGTGCAGTTTACCTGAAAATAATCATATTTATGAAAAGTTTTAAGTTGTACCAAAGGCTAAAGGCTATATAAAATACCTGAAATTTTAAAATCACAGTTTAGTGCCAAAAATATTTTCATTGTTTTCAAATAAATAAACATGGAACTATAACTGGGTTTTTCAAGTGCAAAGCTATTGAATCTACATTTTAAAAATTGTCTTTTTTAGAAATTTAATGGAAAGCATTTAAATGAAAACCTTAGTTTACTACTTCCAAAAATAAATCAACATTTTTAAGTGTAGAAAAATTAGAAACTGTGCAATTAATAGGCTGGAAAGTTAAATATCATTGCCAGTAACCAATTATGTTTGCTGAATTTCAAGGGAACCTATTGTATATTAAACTTTTAAAAAGTGAACTCATCTACCCTCTCATCTCAAAACTTTCTCAACTTTCCCATTACAACCAACAATTTAACTTGCAGTCAACTCTTCCAGACCAGTAACATCAGAATTTATTTTTAACTCCTGACTCCTTCCCAAATATTCCCCTTCAATCCAATACAAAGTCCTGCCAGTTCTTCATTCAGTTGTTCTCTCAAATGTGTTCTTTTCATCCCATTTTCACATTTTACTTTATACTCCCTCATGATTCACAACACACCCTTACTATATCCCTAAAAGGGCTCTAATGACTTGACTCTAATCCATCAACTCAGCTGCCCAAATGATCTTCGAATATCTTGGTTCAGCCATATACAATAAATTCCACTATCTCTTGAAGCTCAACCAAACTCTTATAGGCAGGCCCCTTCTACCCTCCATCAGCTATTAACGTATTTTCCAGATTCCACCTCTCATTTTCCTATTTAGACTCCTTTAATTCAGATTTACCAACTTGCTTGGTAAATACAAAAATCATTTACCTGTCGTAAAAAAAACCACCATCTCTGTACCTCTGTCCAATCCTTCCATCGAGAAGCCTGTATGCTTCTGTATCAATTGAAGTTATTGCCTCCTTTACCACCTGTCTTAAAACACACTTCTGCGGAAGTCTTCCCTCTCTAACCCATCTGCCTCACCTCTTTATTCCCTGTTCCTCTGAACAAAGCATTCTATTTGTATTTATAATCTTACAGTCATCTTGGTAGTGTCTTCATATTTTGTCCTATAATCTGCCTCTACTACTAAATGATAAGCTTTTGAGGACAAGGACTACATTTTCTTATGTATCTCTCTCTTGAACAGGGGTACCTGAACACTAGCACTCTAACAAATATTTAATGATTTCCCTTTCTTCTAAAATGTCCTTAAAGTCAAGGTTGTCAAAAACAATTAGCATTGAACTCCAACTTTTTAAATGTTAAGTTGATCTATATGATAACAGAAAATTAAACATTTTAACCTACACTTTACAAGAATTACCTCATCAGTCAACATCCACATTATCAAGAATTAAGAAGTCATTTTCAAAGAAAATCCTGGGGATAAAATAAAATGTCCAAAATTTTAACATAAGCTATTTTATTTTGCTTTCTGAAACAGAGCTAATATATTAATTACCTAAAATTGATTTTGAGTGGTTTTTAAACTATATTACCAAGATGAAAAAACAAACACCCCAATAGCACAAGAGGCTCTAAAGTAGCTATTAGAAGATTTGCTTCATCATAGCTGAAAATTACCCTAGAGTTTTTAAATATTCCTTTCAAATGATCCCATGAAGTGCTTAGAAAGCTTGACCCTTCCCTGAAGATGCATCATCAGCTTCCCTTTTCACATACCCCTGCATTCTGCACTAGCTAGTCACCACCCCACAAACCCCACTCCAAATTAACTTTCAAAAATAACCTCCCATTCAGCTATTACCTCAGACTACCCTTTGTCAGGTAAGTTCCAAAAGCCAACAGAACTGAAATCCTGAATTCAACAAGAATCATTTTATGTTCCTTAAGGATATAATCAATTTCACATAACAGCATATATTTCTAAAAAAAAATCTCAGTTCTTCAGTTCTCTCCTTCTAGGCAACAAAATAGTTTTTCTTTGCCCTCGTGGGATAAGAAACTATAATTTTTGCCAAATTCTGGAAATATTTTTAAATACGCTGTCATTAAATAGCACATAAACAAATCCACAAGTAGAGATACATCAGAACACTGGACACTTAGTATACCAAACACCTCAAGAACACAGACTTTCAGCACAAATCTGGGACAAGAGTACACTCTAGCAACAACCCTGAACACAGCCCAAATATCCCTATTATATGCAGGACCACAGCGTTCTGCAATACCTATGATGGAAAGGTCTAAATCCATATTCTCACAACTAAATCCATAGTTTTATCTAAATGTGACAGAAAACCAATGCAAGAGCATTTTAAATAATCCTAAGGGGACCCCTGACCTCCATCTATCATTTAACAAGTACAAATGCAATGGCACCCAAAACTGAACTTAAATGACAAGTCAGTAACAATTAACATTCAACTTAGTATTTGGCAACATGACAATACAAACCTCAATCAAAAATTGGACCTACTCCCAAATTACCTTTTGACTAAACATAAATTATATAGTAGTAGACAGGTAATGTCAAAACGGGAAGGATCAAAGATAACATATTAAACCACTTACCCAATTTAAAACCATGCAAATAGAGATACTACTGCTGCTGCTGGGTATCAGCAGTTCCCACTAGCCCCTCGTAAAGGAAGGAATCAATACTCGCCTCCCAACGTGAACGCCCGTTACTGAACAAGTTCATCTCAGGATTTAGAACAAATACTTTGTATAGTCACACAAGCAAGAAAGAAATGTCAGGCAACTGTAACACTCCGTCTCTCCATTAAGTATATACAAAACGATGGAAACCCCTGAGACCTGATCTAACTAAAATACCCCTCATTGCAAACGACATAAAATGAGCAACAATACATCATGTTGTTTATGAATCAAGTCTTGTCCTTTCTCCAAAAGGATGAGCAAGTCAACACTACCATCGCTATTTTAACGCGGAAATACTCCAGCACTTAACACAGCTGACTACCAACAGCCAGGCAAGTAGAAGAAAATAAGTTGCAAATCAAATCGTCCACACAAAAATCGTATTCTCTCAACTCAAGGTTAATGAGACCGGAGGAGGGGGGTACGGGGGAAGAAAAGAGGGAGCTGCTTCCTCCTTGCAGACAGGTTCTTGCCCATTTCCATCACATCTGATGGCTGTATCGGGAGGTCTAAGACCTGACGACCCTGGCATTTCCAGGTTTCCTATTTTAAGGATGCAGCGGAGAAGGGTGGAGAAGAAAATCAATACTTACTGCTAACTTTCATGCTGCCAAACGCCGAAGGCTGCTGCACTGGCTTGCAGCTCTCCGCAAAGGAGGTGGTTCTGGGCCGCCCTGACATGATCGCTCCCTTCCTGAATCACCTTCTTTTCCTTCCTTCCTCCTTCTCTTCCTTTTGTTGTATGTTGGGATGTTAGGTTAATGACCAAAGCAGCATTAAGTTCTCCCACAAGAAAAAGAAAAAGACTTCGTTCTCTTGCGTTTTTTTCCACTCCTTTTGTATAGCTATTTAAAAAACGAGCGATGTATTTCTCCTTCAAGACAGATCAGTATGGGTATTTAACATAGATGATTTGAGACTAGGGGGGAAAAATACAATTCATTCCCCTCCCTTTCCTTGGAGGGGAGAAAAGGAAGGGGGGGCGGGAAGAATCCTAAAAAAAATATATATATATATATATATCACGCGAAACGGGGACAAATACTTGATTGAAAATAAGTACTTTGAATATTCTATTTTCCTCGGGGATTTTTTTTCCGAGTCAATGTTGAAGGGAAGCGGCGGA